AGCAGTGGAGGCTCTTTTTTTTTGCGTTTCGGGACATAGCTCATAACTCGGTCGCCTTTCGTTATTTTTTTACTAAAAAATTAGTTCATACACTTCAATCATAGGCAAATACATCCATAAAGTCTAAAACCATTCCATGGAATACTTCTCTTAAAAAAAATTTCCAAAAATTACCTAAATTTCGGGCGGTCACACTGGGTAGGTCCCTTAAACAATCCATCGGAATTCGAAAACTTTCGTAATCGTGAAATTTATCCTAATGACAAAATCGTCCCACTATAATGTATTCTACTGATTTCGATTCCATATGCAATCTAATAAAGTAGAACCTGTTAATCTACTTCTTAGAACGAAATGGCGAAGAAAAGATTAAAAAGGTGAAACTTATCATTGAAGGCATCGGTATGTTTGTCCTAATTGTAAGAGGTAGTAAATTACTTAAAGTTAGAAGGGTTGCATTATTCATGAGCGTGCTACGTCCCACGAAACAAGTCGAGGTTGTTTCATACGGTGTGCGGTTTTATTTACGCGTTTTGCGGGTACTTTCGGAATTGCGGTCGACAAAACAAACAGCACATCGCGTAGGATATACGTATAATGCTCGAAATATTGTACGTACGTACATACGTGTAGCCATTTGTACCGTGCCGTTTAATGCAGGACACTGATACAATCTAGCTGCGCTGAATCGTGTTAATTCACGGCGGCGAATTAATTGGTTCGTTCGCCCCCGATATTTAACGCGACGAGAGAACGAATGGCAGTTTCGACACATCCGTAAAATCTCTCTTCTCCCGCGATACCTCTGATGGAAAATATAGTTACAAGGTAAAATCGGAATTAACCAGGTTTCATTCCGCCTCTTCGTATACGTGAATTTTTCATCCGCAACGATTAATCGCGCTCGTTCGGTGCGTAAAAAATTTCCGGTGCGGCAGCATGACCCATGTAATTAATCCCATTTCCGACCCTAAGCAGCAGATATTCCTTTGAGCCCTCCGTAAACACGGTTTAGCCGACAATGGTTCGCTTGGGGTTAGCGGTTCAGTAAATTAGCGTTAATTAAACCATGAGTTTTTAGTCACCACGAATACCCGATGACGACGTGCGACTCGCTGTGCAAGTGTCAACCGCGATGAAGCGAATTCGAATGAGCGGATGAAGTGTTTGTACTTTAAGAAATTTTCTTTTTCACGTAGGTTTGGGTATAGCGAGACCCGATCACAATTTTTCCCGAAAGTTCCGACAGTCTTATTGCAAACGCGTAAACATTTTGAACTCGTTGACCTGTGGAGTAAACAAATTTTGCAATCAGCTTAACAGGTCTTCTATGCCGCGCCGGTGAACGATTCGGATAATTGAGAACCGCTCTAAAGCGTCTTCTTCACGTTGGATTAAGCATATTCACATGGATTCGCACGAACACGCGTGCAAGCGTTCCGTAGCAATCGAAAGGAAGGATTATTCTCGCCCCTACGTTCCGTCTCTCCTTCTCCGCGGGGCAAGTAAAAAGCCAAGTTCTAAACGAAACCAAGCAACTGCTTCAGACTCGAGTCATCTCCTTGAGCCCTTTCCACCGGAAATATCGAATGTAAGCCGAGGATTATTCGAAGGATGTATGCGTAATCGACTGACTCTCATCCGTGAATATTCTACGAGTTCAGAAGCAAAATTGCAAACGTCTTAAAAACTTGAAAGAGAAGAGATAAATGACTGGGAAAGATTGTTATACATCCGAGGGTTAGAGGTGATAAATAATTGTAATGTCTTTTAATATTTACAGACTGATTGACGATCAAACCACGTGTGTTACGTAAGTTGTAGAAAAAATATTTATCATCGATATCAGAGAATGACATCTATTATTATACATACATACGTACATGTATTACACTGACAGCTGCTATAGTGATCGATTCCTGTTTTAGGACAGGGAATATTCGATAATAGTACAATACAATATTCAATTTTATAAAACCTCATTCAAATTTGAGTTTGAACTTTTCAATTGAAATTCCTTTTATTGTAATACCGAGGCCAAAAATGTAATTGAATAATATATGCCAATGATACGAAAACAAGAATTTAATTAAGTATCAGTCATAACTTTGGATCATAGTCAGTTGAATCACGATAATACTTGTTTATTTCCGAACGAACTGAAATTAGGGTGTCGTGAAAGGAAGACATCAAGAAGTAAAAAGTAGTATCAGGATTGCGTGGCGAATCGTCGGAAATTGGGAAACCGATCATGGTGCCGAGAAACTGTTTGCGAGCATCGTCCCACGAAGCCACCGTGTTGAATCGCGGGCACAAGACAAATGCATTCGTTTTCGGGGCAAGAAAAAAGCAGAAACGCGCGTCGCCGTGGGCGGTTTGCGCAATTTGTCAGCTGCAGCTGGTTGAAACGCAAAGGAGAGGGAAGGTGTCGACGCCGCCGTCCAACGATATTTGTCCTACCACGCTTTTTCATTCGTTCCGCTCTGAATTTTTCTTGCGAATCCAAGCAGTTTCGTACAATTGTCGTTAAAACCATGAAAAATGAGAGAAATTAATGATTGGTCGAAGCTCCCTACATTTCAATACGTATTCAAATAAATAATAATCAAGAATTAAAAAATGTCATCGTTTTTTAGTGTTACTGCTGACAAAAGAAAAAGAAAGAATAGAATTCATTAAACTTTCGGCAAAGATCTGCAAGAAACAGTGAATTAGGACATTATAAACGATCTTGGCAAGTGATAGTAATTTTATACGACAATGTATTCAAGAAGAGGAAAAGTTTACTTCTAGATTTATCTTTACAGCGAAAAACGATGGAAGCACATCGAAGAAGATGAACGTAAAAGCTTTCAGTAGCACAGCTGCGCGAGGAACTTTAACATCCGAGTAAAAACATTGACAACCAGCTTCGGATTGTACATTCAATGATTAAAGCCGACGTTTGAGTGTAATCCGTTAATATATAGATTATTAAAAACTTTCTACATCGCGAACAATTTTTCACACGCGATGGAACACGAAAAAGAGGAGAACTTTTATCCAGTACGAAGCAATAAACTGCACACTGTCTGTCGCCTCTTTATTCGGAATCAATCTCGCGTTGTACAGCTTAAATCCACGGCCAATTTAATTCTACAAAGTGGAGCAAAACGGTTTCGTACGGTTCCGTTCGAAATGTGTCGGCTGCATTGAGTGGCGTTCGTCAAGAGCTCCTCGTTATAATTTTGCTTTATTTATAGAAGTCGACTAACCATCGCGAACAGTTGTACATCCCGTTGACCAGCGGCATCGATATTTGAACGAAACTCGTCCCAGCTAATATTGTTATCAACGCATCGAGCTAAATGTTACGTTGCGTTGGTCAGCCCGTTGGTCAGCCTATAATGCATGAACAATGCGATCCAATTGTATAATTCCCGTCCACAATGTCCATTAAGTAGACTACCTTTTTATGTCTCTCTCGTGTATACGAGACCATTTCCCAACAACCCCTATTACTGACGTTTCAAAAATAAGTATAATTAAATACGAATATCAACATGTTCAACGTTAACGAGAAAAATAAGAACGAGAAGGTTCGTTACATTTAATGCAACATCGAAATAGAAATATAGATCGATCCATCACTTGTAATCAATTCTGAGACTGAATGCGGTTGCAAGGATTTCCGAGGAACGATGAATCAAACGTGTTCCTAGATGAAAATAAATTTGCCTGTCCACGCAGCGAGGGAAACATCCTTGAGGTCGAGGATCATACTGAATAATTAATAACGTTCTACCCGAGTCCCGTTGGAGTAATAACTCGTGGAGGGTAGGGCGAGATTAAAATGCGATTTCGCATAATCTCTGCGCGGCACCGCTAATTTTTCATGATTTCGTTTGAAAGTTGACTCCGCTTTTTCATCAGCCTCGCTTTTTCCGGTACTCCTTCCATCAAGAACAATTAAATCAGCGTCGTCGATTCATCGGATTACCTTCGGTCACGTTCCGAAGTTGCGCAGCTCAAAGTGCAGTCGCGGACGACCTTTTCGAACGATGGAAAAAATTGTCACAAAAGGCGAACGATATCTTTTTATCATCGATCGGGGATATAATTTCGCCCCTTGTGAACGTCAGCATTGTCTCTTGAACGTTGACAGTGACATTTCCATTTGTTTACGGTCGTGAAAGAGGGTATCGTCGTCACCTCTTTTTAGAACGGGCCGTCGATTCACATATTAGATTAACGATTTAATGGATAACTCGATGAATGACTCTATGTATGGTACGCCTCGGTGCGTAAATTGAACAAATTATAGAAGAATGCCTTTGGTGTTGGTACATAGATATCCCGTGCATGTGTTACATGGTGGTAGCGTTGCAACAGGGTTCGACGGTTCTCAGTTCTCAGGGCATCTTCCACCTCCTCGCAATAATCACTGCAATTATTTCATGTTTGAAGTTTTTAAAACGACAAATTTGAATAAAGGATGTTTTTAATACAAATAAAATAAAGTTTCAAAGGGAAAATGTTAATTGTAATACAAGTAACTCGAGAAAGGGACAATGCAACACTTTTTTGGAACGCCGTTCCCTCTCTTACCCGCGTAGAAACGGTAAGTGGCTTGATGGGTGACGATATGAGCATCCCTGAATCGCACAATGGACAACTGGACATAATTACACCGGACGACAAGTGTGCGTGAGCGTGTACAATCGTGTGCGTTAAGATCGTTGGAACACGATCACCATCTTAGTCAGAGATCAGTGTCTCGTGAAAAGTCGAAGAGTTCGCGCGCGTATCACGGGTATCATTCTAAATCTAACTCGGTTTCTTTCCTCTGTTTTGTCTCGTGATTTGACAGTGGTGAAACATTGCATGTGACATTTATAACATGTTGCTCTTTGGTTGGATGATTTGCATTTTTATTATAGGTAAGCGACAAAACATGACAAAAGTAAAACTCGTACATGGGCAATTTAGATTATTTCGAAGCGCTTCCGTGGCGTTCGATTCGTGCAATTATGCAAACTGTCACAGATTACACTCGGAACAATTGAGAAATCGTTTCTTTCAACGATTTCATTATCCAATTAACTACCGAGAATGTGGCGGATTTCGACGCGTCAATTTTCATCCAATTGTTTTCATAGCTTTCACAATACATGATTTTTACATCCTTGCAAAATATTTCCGTTTTTCGCTATCACTACTGTTGGTTCATTTTAAATCAGAGATTTCGAATCAGGATCAAACGATTGCTTGTTGAATAAAATTTTTGACGCAAGTCACATGACAATTTCTTCCCATACAATTTCTCTTTTAAATGCGAAACATGAACAAACGTTAGGCATAAAAAAAGCGACCCAGTCGATTTAACATGAAAAAGTTTCTTAATTTGAACGCGGACAGAATCGATCATTGGGTTCTCGTCAAACTGTCGCAATTATCTCTTGCGCTGCCACTTGAATTCGTTAAAATTAATTCACTTTCGATCAGATTGTTTCTAGGTTTCTCATTAACTCTCAGGTGCCATGAGTATTTGGTATTCGTTACAGCGAGAACCATACAATGGTCGCCGGAACGAACTTACGATGCGCATTATAAATTTCGCAAAATTGTTTTCCTTCTGGTTATTTTCCTCAATCCTGTATGGTTGAAAATTGCTCGATTCTTTTTGATCCTTTTACTTTTCTCCTTTTATCTCCGTTCGCTTATCTTGGTTTTAATTAAAAGACTAGTACGCCCCAGTGCGATTTTCAGAAATTCAATTTGTCCAGCCGAGTGAATGAATTGCGTTCGGTTGTCCGATTCCAGAAGTACATGCATACTGCATGTGAACTCTGTATTTAACCCATCAGCTGTCTCTGTGAAAGTGATCTTAAACTTTCACAATTCAAAAATTAGAACTAACTCGAATAAGATAAGAAAAGGATCTTGTAGTATAAACTACATTATGAGGACTTGTTACATTTATTGTTACAGTTAATCGGGCGGTGGCGAACAGTGGCTTTAAAAGCTACCCAACGACGGTGAAAACCTTTGAAAATGACACTGTAGTGTTACCCTGTTACGTCGAAGATCTCGGTAAGTCTGGTACTAATCGTAAATTTATTCTTGTAACAATGATCTGATTCAACATCGTTACAAGAAAAAATACAAAAGCAATAAAAAGCCTATAGAAAAGTTAACTTCTGCAATAAAACTGTTGCGATCACTCTTGTCTCCATCTTCTTCTTCCCTTTTTCTTCTCAACGAAGGTATTGCTTACAAATTCTATTTTTGTCCCTTCATGTCAACAACATAATTTCAAATACTCGTTTTTTACTATTGGCTTCTTCGTATGCATTAAAAATATATTTAGAGGAATTTTATGAACTGAAAAACGTGCATGTGTTAGAATTGAGAAGAAAGGGGTCAGCAAATTGAATTATTAATATTAATCTTATCGGGGAAAGAGAGAGCTGGCTGTGTAGTGACCACAATTTCGGGCAACGATCGATGCCAATTTCCCTAGAGCAGCGGCGATGTGTCCATTCGCAACACTTGGATGCCGGTATAGAACGCAAACAATTTGCCCGTACAATCGATCGAACTGTCATCGGTGGTTTCGCCGGTAACGGGATTGCCTGTCACCCGTTCGCTTTCCTCCGTTGCAACTCCGGCAGGAGGTCACGTACGCTAACAAGAAGGCGATACTAACATCGCGGATTAAGAACTTGTCTCGAATTATGCATCCTTGAAATTTACCGCGACCATCCGGATCGCAGACGTTTCAAACCGACAGGGATTAATGAGAAAGTGGGTCAGGGGAAAGCTACTCGGCTCGGTTACTTATTAATTAGAAATTCGCCGAAATGCACTTTGCATACCGTTCCTATCTCCAGCCGATTGTTCCGATAGAATTACGGAACAGTAATTCTATCCGTAGAGTCAGTCGAAGAATTTTGTTATTGAGTGTTCGAACGAATTGAGACGTTCCGGTGCATACGCATTCGTGTATCCAGATAACGTGCAGACCAGAGTGAGATGGTGGAGGGACGGCACCCTTTTGGCTGACAGCGGTGATCCGCGACACGAATCACCTGAAAGAGTTAGGATGTACTCGAACAGCAGCCTGGAGGTTTCCCACGTGAGACGGAACGATACCGGGGAATATGTATGCCAGGCGTCTCGGCCAGCTCCTTGGGGACACGCTACGCAAGTACACGAAATCGAAGTAATGTGTGAGTAATTGCAAATCGATATTCAAACGGAACGTCGCACTTTCTATTCGATAGAAACTTTTCACCAGGATACGACATCGTCGACGATATACAACGATGATACGCTTTATACGCGCGTTCAATCTATCTGTAACGACATTGTTTACGCAATATTTAATGTCTATATAAGCATCTATCGGTATTTTATTTATTGATACATCGACTGTCATCAAATCAAGATTGGAAACAAGCAGTTCTTGTCGTTACGAAAATATTTGATTTTCATCTTTGAAACCGTCCTCTCTTTGCTAATCCTTCGTGTACATCGTTAGTTGGTCGAACGGAATCAATTACGGGGGCGATATCAATTAATTGGAATCGATAATTGGGAAGTAGAGGTTGCAACCAAAAGGGATCGAAGAAACCTTAGATTGAGTATGTATCGGCGAGAGGTTGAACATTGACGTCGATTCTATCGCGTATTACCGCCGACGTGAAATTATGGATGACCCAAGAGTATCTTAGAGGTGTACCTCATACCACAAACAAATTCAGAAAAGTTTTTTCTCTGCCGAGGAATCCTCCACGGAGTTTTCTCAGCGGCAAGGATTTCGGTTCCATTTCGTCGAACTTTGTACACCCGGCGCGCGTAAAAATAAGAAAAAGGATCTCTCCGACTCGTCCGTCCCTCGAGCGAAATCGAATTTCTTTTTTATCCTATTAAATTGGAAATGATACCGTTTCTACGTCTGGCGATGTACGACCGATCCCTGCGACTTTACACCGATACAGTTTTGAATTATCGACGTCGAAAGTTACCATGAATGAATCGAAAATTGCAGATTCGCCTACCGTCTATCCAGTATCAAGTAAACTCGAAGTGAACTTGGGAGAAGAGGTGGACATGGCTTGTGTCGCTAAGGGCGTTCCAATTCCTATCGTATCGTGGAGAAACAAGGTAAACGTTCCGTTACATAGGAAAGGGTTCCACGCGATGATACGAATGCGTGTACGTAAACATTTATTCGTTGACAGGACGGCGAGATACCGTTTTTGTATGATAGATCGCGTTTGCGATTTCACGCCGAAAAACCCAGCGACGCCGGCCGATATACTTGCGTCGCGGATAACGGCGTCGGTGAACCAGCTACGGCGACCATAGATCTGTACGTTAGATGTAGGTACCATTTCAACTATTTATAAAAACGGCTTATATTTATCATAATTGCACACGTGTTTGCTCGCCTACCCACGTTCGAGCTTATGCGTATCTCGACAGATTATAAATACACGGAAGTAACCACTATCCTCTATTCGTCGTTAAACGGTCGTAATTAAATTAGGAAATTGCATTCCCCTGTTTAGTATTCCGATCGAACGTTGCATCCGCACGATCTAATTGTAATCACGCGGCGTTCAAATCGTTTGTGTACGACAATCATTCTACGGGACGTCGTTTCGTGTCCTGTCGTCCTGTAATTTCAATTGGAAATTACGAGACGTTTCCTGAACTGGAGAGAACAGAAACGGCACAAAAACGAGTCTCGTGAACGTTCAACCTGTGATTAGATGATTCATACCGATTAAATTATTAGATAAATGACGGTCGTCGGCTAATTAAAAGCTTGGCTGATGTAAGCACTGTCGATAGACCATTTGAAAAAGTTCAATGATCGTTTCATGAACGCGTCACGAATTTCAGCATTCAGTTCACTTTTTCCTTTTCATGCACCCGTCTCGCGATTTCGATCGGAATCGATGATTGGAAACAATGTAGACAAGCCGAAGATCGAGATGATGAAGACGTGGATGCACGCACCCCCAGGAATACGAGTGCAGTTGAATTGCGGGGTCACTGCTTGGCCGGAGGCGAAGGTGAATAATTTTGCAACATTATGAATGATACCATTATGTTAGTAAATGACAGTTCGAATAACAATGGGCATAGCCTAAAGTAAACCCTGTTCCGAACACGCGGCGCCCCTTTTCCAATTTTCCATTGTACATTTCGAAACGGTAGACTCGTTTTAACCAGATAATAATAACAAAGATTCTCCCTGATCTTGTTTCTATCCGAATGCTTACAACAATTGTTTTCACTCGATACGTTTAAACGAACAGTGCAATTAAAAATAATTTACTCAAGATTTAACGCTACAAGAGATATACAAGGTGTCCCAGAAAAAGTGTTAGAGGCGAGGTGATTCTGGAGGTGTTTCTGAACAACAATTTCTTTTGGTAAAATACAAAGTGAACCATAGTTTTTGAATTATTAACGAAAAACATTGACCAATGAGAGCAAGCGAAGGGCCCGCGCCCAGCCATGGGTAGGTTGGCTCGGATCGTGACGCTTGGCCGTGGCTTAGCGCGGGCCCTGCTCGTGCTCTTATTGGTCAATGTATTTCGTTAATAATTTAAAAATAATGTCTCACTTTGCATTTTGCCAAAGGAAATTGTTGTTCAGGAACACTTACAGAATCACTTCTCTTCGGCTGTAACACTTTTTCTGGGACACCCTGTATAAGGTACGGACAGGCTGTATCTGTAAAGCAATTTCCCTCGGTCTATCCCTTGGAGGCAGTGAAACCTGATGAATCGATTGACGGGGAAACGTGACTCGCGATACTTTTTCTCGCGAAAGGTAGCTGCTGTGTTTAAACTTGTAGCTGACTAAGCATCTCCTCCAGACTTCTCGTAATCGGACAAAAGTTTTGTGTTTAAAGTGTCATCGCGGTGCATTCTAAACCATCCCACTTAATCCAATGAGCCTTCCCGGATTCGGTTTCCTTGCTCGCTGATCGCATAAATTATTGTTTCGTCCGCAGGTAGAGTGGTGTTTCAACAACGAAAGCGTGAATTACTCCTCGCGAATAGTGAAGCACAACGCGGGCAGCGATCACAGCTTGGTGATAAGGAACGTCAGGACGACGGATTACGGGTTTTACTTGTGCAGGGCTTCTAATTCTTTAGGAATCACTGAGGCGGCGGTCGAATTATCGGGTGTCGCGAACCCGGCCGTGTTTAAGAAAGCGTACAGCCTCTCGAAGACCTCGTACAATTTCGTCTGGGAGGTCTACAGTTACAATCCCATTGTTCAACACGAGTTCAGATTTCGTAAAGTTACGGTAATACTATGGATTGATGGTTTACACACTTAAATCTATATGCCAACTGTGGTACTTCGAATTAACCAGTTAATTCACAGAATGGGGTTCCTGGTGCATGGCGCAAGCTGTATATACCCAGTGGCAGCGATGAAAATAGTTTCATACATACGTATTCGTTTAAATTGACCGGTTTAGAAGAAGCTACGCATTACGAGGCGTTGATACTGTCGAAAAATCGTTACGGCTGGAGCAAACCGTCGGAGATAATACGATTCGCTACAGAAGGCGCACGTAAGTGATAACACTAACCGGCAAATAAAAACTATTTTCAAGTTTTGCAATGTCCATCACATGATTCTTATAGAGTTTCCCGTATCGAACACGAATCTGGAAACAGAATTGCTCTATCACGTACTATTTTCGAAAACTCGTCGTTTTTGTAAAAATACATGATTTTCGGGAAAAATGAGGTATTATAGGAAAACTAAGACTAAAACTAAAACTAATTTTTTTTCTCTTTACAGCAGACAAGGACAACTACATAACTAACGCGATACAGGAGAACAAAATTATACCCGGTAATTTGATATTTTAATTCCTCTTTGTGCTGTTTAAAAACCACTGAAATTTTATATTAAATGTGAATATGAATACGAAATTTTACATTGCTCTTTCGCAGCGGTGCAACTTGCATCGATATCGCAACACTCTCCTCTGGATGCTGCTAACAGCGGAGGTTCTCTTAATCAAGGAAAAATCGCAACAATGATATTGGTATTATATGTCCTCAATTATCGTGGCAATATATAAAACTTCATTATGTCGATCGGAAAGAAGAGTTATACTTTGGTTTTACGTGATGAGCTGTTATTGCAGAGGTGGGGAACGTGCGGCTTCTTTGTACGGTTTCAAATTATGTATTTATATTTGAATGTATTCAATTACTTTCAAGTAAGAAACAAATGCAAATATCCGACTAACTTCAATTTTCCATCAAATTTTAAAATTATTTTCCGTACTATTGCTATGTTAGATATTTATAATTTAATATTATTATTTTTCTATTGTGTTTCTTTACAAAGTAATAAATTTACGTAAAAATTCTTCTACTAATGTTACTTTTATTTTAAGCGGTATTTAAATATGTAGATGTTTATTAAAATTTCAAGATCTGAATGAATATATGCTTAAACAAATAAAAATACCAACAGTGAAATATAAAAAATTATAGCGGCCTCCTTTATTACTGCCTGATTTAAATCTGGCCTCTAGTGGTAAAAAGGTTCCCCACCTTTGGGTTATTGTATAGGAAGAAATATCAAGAGGAAGACAATTTGTGTCCTATATTAGGATAAAATTTCGCGATTTCGTTATAATTGTAAGTTTTAAGATTGTAAATATAAATTCCACCTACGTGTCATATATATTATGTTTCGTGTGCTGATAAGGTATTATGTATTTTGTTTTGTGATTAATGTATTGATTTTGGAAACATATAAACGATCGATGTATTTTCTGCGAAATATTTTTGTGTACACTGCAATTATTAAAACACACACAGTAGTATTATAGACGTGATACACAAGGCTAAACGATTAGATCCATGAATCTTGTAAAACTGAATTCTTTGGCATCATAATGTTTGTGTAAAAAGACCATTTAGTACATGCTTCGCAGATAACAAATTTGTGCTTTTTTTATTTATAAATATTTCATTAAATATAACATTTACCATGGGAGGAAATTTAGACTCCGATGGAGCAAATTGGAAGTAATTCTTTACGATAGAAATTAAGAAACGTTAATATTTCACGTCAACTATATTATAGCGGCCGCTTTCTTCTAAGTCATGGCTGACAAGCGGCCTAAGCGGCTAGATGGCGTCACATGCAATTCCAAAATCGTTTGAGGTATGTGTATGGTGTATGTACCGTTTGTTGATATAAAATGATATAAAACTGTCATAGCTCAGTCACAATTCACAATACAGAATCCTTTTGAAAGAGCCTTGAGAAAAATGCGAAAGTCTCGATCTCCAAGTTCTTTTATAAATGAAAATTTACATTTATAAAAATCAACAACTTAGAGAATTCTGTCTTTGACTTTTTTCATACAATCGACAATCTTGAATTAGATAACAGAAGTGGGGTTAACAGAATACTCAAATGTTTCGCACGTCTCTCTCACAGTGATTACAGAGCAAGTAAATAAAAGTTCGATAACTCGTTTTAATACATATGGAGGGCTACTAATTGATAAAGTATGGAAAATTCTTTACAAAATCAAGACATTAGATGTAAAAGTAATCCAATCGTTTTTTTAGATATAGCAATTGACAGAGAAAAAGGTAATGTTGAAACATATGATCATTAAATTATGCGTGTTTATGTTCAACTTTCAGTGTGTGCATTACTGTCTTACATTTCATTCCATTAGAATTATAAAATGTAATTTATATGGTACTATGATACAGTTGGAAGAATTGTGATTGAGCTTTTTAAGGATGTTGTACCACGAACAGCTGAGAATTTCCGTGCACTGTGCACTGGAGAAAAAGGTACCGGAGCCAGTGGGAAACGTTTACATTACAAAGGATCAATATTTCATAAAGGTACCAGAAGAATGAATTAATTACACTGAGAAAAGAATTATGAAAATTAAAAAACAGATGGTCAATGGGAATTTAACATAAAAATTTGCAATAATCTAGTGTTATCACAAGTTATGATCCAAGGCGGAGATATAATAAATTTTGATGGAACCGGTGGAGAAAGTATATACGGAAAAGAATTTGAAGATGAAAACTTCAAACTTTCCCATACACTGGCAGGACTACTGAGCATGGTAAATAAGGGTTACCCAGACAGCAACAGTTCTCAGTTTGTCATTACACTTTCAGCTAGTATACACTTGGATAAAACCAATGTGGTTTTTGGTAAAGTTTTAAAAGGTATGGGTGTCGTGTATGAAATTTCTCAAGTTAAAACAGCGTATGATGTACCTGTTCAGGTAAGCATGAATGAAACTGTTCTCTTTCGTGTCGTTGAAACAAATTGTTTCGTCACAGAGAGTACAAGTAATCGACTGTGGTGAACTGCGATTGGAAGAAGACTGGGGTATGGAAGAGAACGATGGTACTGAAGATGTATTTACACCATGGCCAGAAGATTGGAATTATTCCACAGAAATCAAAGAGCTCGACGTATGTTTCCCGTTTTAGATACATATGTTTTTGAAAAATAAGCACTTTTTTTTTTAATGATCATTCGTGGATGTTTATAGTGCACGTATATAGTGGACGTTATTAAGAAGATAAAAGATTCAGGAAATCGTTATTTTTCACAAAACAATTATATAGATGCAGGAAGGAAGTATAAGAAAGCATTACGCTATTACAAATGGATGAACAAGACAGTGTATGTACCAGATTCTTCCAACCAATTAATGGTAAACACTGAAGTGGCCCTATTACTTAATCTTGCAGCGGTCAAGTTGAAAGAAAGAAATTACCGTGAAACTTTGACCCTTTGCACAGAGGTAAGTCTTCGAATTACATACGGTGTACAAGTTTCTTCACTTGGCGCCTTAATTTTATGCTTAGGCTCTAAACTTGGACAGAAAAAACAGCAAAGCATTATTTCGTAGAAGTCAAGCACACATGGGATTAAACGAACACAACTTGTGTTTAGCAGACCTAAGACGAGCTCTTTTAGAATCTCCTAACAATAAAGACATTCTATTAGAAATCGATAAGGTTAAAAAAATTATAAATTCATATCTAGTTATTGAGAAGGCGTCCTGTAAAAAGATGTTTAAATTAAAATGAAATATTTTGTAACGAATATTTGAAAAAAGTATGACATTTTTTATACGTATGTACGTTTCTACATAAATAGACAATATGCAAATAATTATTGTCCGTTTTCATTTTCATTACTTAATAGTAATAATTACGTAAAATGCTAAAAAAAAAAACAATTACAACCACGAGTGTTGAAAATATTTTAATACAAATCATAACTACTGTTGTATACAAATGTTCATCGTATGTATGACTTGTTTATTCGACACCTACATTAAGTTTTTAACAATTCTGAGCATCACTGTTTTGTATATTATATCAGAAACATGTTACATAAAATAAACATTAAGATATGATTTCAATAGAACCCTACAACTAATCGATCTATAAAAAAAAATTACAAGTGGTAAAACACGAGCGATATACGCAAATAAAATAAAAAAATTATTGCAGTTTTTTTACGTTATAAACAAAAACATGCATCTTTATAACAATTATTTATTTCCTTGAAAGATTTTATCTTAATAGCACTGTATATCTATACAAGTTAATATCTACAGCAATTACACATGGGAGTTTCTGCGATGACTAGATTAAAAATGTACTCGTTACGAACTACACTTTAAATATAATTTTCTTCTCGGGTTTGGAGTTGTCAATAAATAAATAAATAAATAAATAAGAAAATAAATACATAAAAATAATGACTGCCGACATTTTCTTACCGGAACTTACAAACTTTCTGCCGTTAACGAGGAATGTATTCATATATCAAAATCCTTTTTTATATTCTTAGTACACACTTCAATCTGAGGATCGACGACTAACAATGAAATTTATGGCACCAAATGTATGCTTCCTGTACAGTGGTTCTTTTATTGTAGCCGTTTTATAGGAGGAAAGCTTTGTGCAAGTCGTATAGAGCTGTTAAATACACTCTTTGTACATTGATGAACTTTTCAAAAACCAGATATGTGGACGGAAAAATTTCAAACTGCTTAAATGACCACGATGTACGATATTTAATGAATCAACTCAGCGACGTGACGTGTATGTATACTTTTCCCGTATTTTATGAGTCGAGCTATCCATTGAAATTTATATTTATTCCTTACTGTGACTTCTGACTTTGCACCTTCGTCGTCGTCTGTCTTCCCAGATTAAAGTTATTCCTTTTCCATTTCCTCTGAACCGTCTTCCTTTTCTACGTTCGAGCAACTTTCTGTCGTATTTTCTGTTTCAATTAAATGATGTAACTCTTTGCACAATGTTTCTTCGCAAACTTCACCGTTTAAAACAGTATTATCTATTACATCGTAACTGTCTTTCGTATCTTCCTCCGCCACATCGTTGAATTCAGGTTCTATAATCTCTTCGCAGCTTTTGAACATATCAGGATGTTCGCTCGAATTAATTAATTCAGGATTCTCGTTAGAGTTTAATATATCAGTGTTGACCTCGTCGTCCGTCGTGTCAGTGGATTGAGACACTTTTTTTAACACACTGTCAATTAAGTTAGACGCGAAGCTTTTGTTTTCGTTTCCTTCGTGAATAGTTTGATGAATCGGTAAGGTTTGAGGTCTGTGTGGTCGCGCGTAAGGAAACGTATTTTCTTCACCGGCTGGTGTATGAACAGCTGATATCTCCGTTTGAGTCGCAACACCATTATCGACAAGATGGGGTTTCGGTTGCATACTCGACATGCATCGTTTTATTTCCGACATGGAATCTTGCAGTTGTTGAACCTGATCAATCGACAAAGTTTTAGAGAACAGGGATACGAGTGATATGACAGTATATAGAATAGTTTAATTATTGTCGTACCTGAGTGTGCAACAAATTACATGTTTGTGCCAGGTTGGTTACAACGTCTACGTTATGACTTAGGTTTTCTGTATCGTTCCCTGCAGAATCGCGGTTGGCGCTGGGTTGGAGGCTGACAACTTTTTTCCATAGTGCATTAATTGCTTGCATTTGTAATAATTGCAATTTATGTTCACTCTCTAATGCAGTTCTGGTAGCCTCCATATCAGTAGACAATTTTCTGTATGATTATTAACAATTCTTATAGTGATTCGTAAAAGGCTTCATATTTCTCTGAAGATGAGGAAAACTTACTGGATGTACTTGTTCGTTCTCATCATTTCGATAGTCTTCAATATAGTGGTTGCTTTTTTATTAAGATTTCTAGTATGATAGCCCCTCCACATCCTTTGTATACATATTGCTGCTTTTTCAGCTTCATCTTGATCTGCTTTAAAAGTGTAAAGTTATAAATTATTATATCCGAAAGACAATTCTGCCTTTATATCGATTAAAAAGAGGATTGAATCACCTTTATTATCTTCCTGTCTTCTTTGAATAGCTCTATGGCGAATACCATCTAATTTCGCTTGGCATACTTCGCTATCTTCGTCGCTACTTTGAATAGCGTTATCTGCGTCTCCATCTGCTCTTTTGACATTGCTCTTCAGTTTATCATTCGCACTTTTTGGCCTCGATATATTTCTGCCTAAGTTTGGCGAATTTTTTGTACTTCGTTTCATAGGCAATGTTTTACTTTGAACGTAATTATTGATTTTAACACTATGGGGACATTTATTACTAGCGTTTGTAATAATAGGTTTAGCGATACTTGGTTTCCCAACTGCGCAATTTGAGGCTGAATTACTTTTTACAAGTGCGTTTGCCTTTATAGCGGCAAGATTTGTTTTCGCCATTGGATTCACCGTATTTATTATTGGGATAGCTTTACCATCCCCATCAGATGAAACAGGTTTACTTGGCATTGTAATTTGACACGGCGAAGACAGTTTACTCGGTGGAGTCTTTGCCAAAACTCGAGATAGACCAGACGGTGGTCGAAAATCTGGGCTCATTAAAGATTCTGGAACTGGTACTAATTTTGTTGCTGCTTGTAAAGGACTAGATGTTTCTGTAAATTGGACGATCCCTTAGTAAGCAACAGAAATTGAAAATTAATCAACCTCGTCATCTACCTTCTGTATCATATGAAACAACAACGTTCGATGCTTTATTGTTTAAAGTACCAGAGAGCATAGTTGGATCCAAACTTTGTGTCATCAATGATTCCTGATCTTCGTTTAGTAGAGTATGGCATGAAGAAACCATAGCATCGGGATGGCAACTTACTATCATCCTATCTGGCGATCTTACTCTCAGCGGGTTCCTTGCTGTACCTAGTTAAATATTATTCATTTTATATACTCATATTTGTATTATGCACGATTATGTTTGTTCGTATTCATATTTCGAGTAGCGGATACATGCAAATGATATCTAAGGACAAATAATATAAAAATTGTGAACTATGTGAAATATATTTTCAAATCGTCAAATTTGCTAAACAAATTTTCTAATTAGCATTATTATCATAACATTACTCTTCTTTTCATACTCCAAGGTTATTTGCGCTATAAGCGTAAAAAACGTAACCGATTAAAACCGTACTACATACTAGGAACAGAAGACATAAACATGTGCAATAATCTAAAATGATTTTGTGTCAAAACATATAGCGCTATATTTGCAATAAGTTCTCCAACGTATGAACTTTCGTCTTAAATTTTTGCACATGTTTGCAATGCAGTTACAGCCGTGTATGATTTACTTTGACTCTGGATACCTTTACAAGGCGAATGGCACACACAGTATTTTGCTTCATAAAATTTTGGTGACTGTAAGCATTTGTCTTCATAGTATGTCAACATTGGCGCAACTAGAGAAAATACATTATGACTAGAACATACAGGTGCATGACGACTGGAAAGTGTACATCACCACTAGTCCACGTTTTATACAATTACATCGAAATCAATTTAGAGACACGTTAAAAAATTCGTTATTGTACTTGTAATAATGAAAAGTAAAGAGAAAGATGAATTAACTCACTGGCACGTCTAGGAGAACTTGTCCTGTTATGACTAAGTCTACGCCTAGTAGCTGGAGAAGGAGTCATTCCGACGCTACTTAAGCTGTGCACGCTTCCAGCATCACTTTGTTGATTTAATTGCTGTTGATGATGTTGTGCCTTACTTAAAATCAGCCTAAGCTTCCTGTCGGTCTCATTTTCTAGAGATTCACCGGAAAGAGGGCAGACAGACGCTAAATATTGCGCAAGCAGTGCATGTTCGCCAACACGGAACTGTCTACCGCGACCCTGGGAATACAGCCACTCTGCCTTTAAACTGAGTGACCATTGTTCCGAATGAATTACAGTTTTATGAATAATGGTCCTTCTATCAAATAGTTAATATACACATCCAAACGGTACCCACCTTTCGATAGGATCAACAGGATAGCCATCAATTGATTTCAAGCTCATACACCAATTGATAACGAAAGGTCGATAGTCAAAACCACTATAAGCTATTTATTAAAGAAAGCTATAGCTGTAAATCTATCGTTAATATTTTCGTTTTATATCTACCTCTCTACAAGCACATTATTTTTATCTGAATGTTCTATGCGATGACATTTAACAGTAGCGAGAAAACATTTTTTCGAAGACATTTTATAATATATATTACTAATTAATTTCTAACATCTAAATATTGAATTTAACGATTAGAAAAAGGATACATACTGTTACCTGTCATACTGACACATGGATTATTAGCAATGGAAAAATTTATTACGTTTTTTAAATTAGCTAAATGCGACATTTCATTCAGGTCAGTAATGTTATTATTTGCCAATGTAAATGTTTCCAAGGAGGTAGGTAAATAACGTTCGCATTGCCTTAGTGTTATTATGCGATTGTTATGTAGAAAGAGCTCCTGAAATACCATCAGAATGATAGATAAAGCACAATAGTTCAGAGAAAATAAAGTTAAATTTTACCTTTAAATTTCTCAAATAAGATATATCCGAGATGTGACTGATGCTATTTTCAGATAAATCTAAATGTTCCAACTTAGTGTTTGTATGCAGGTGTTCAATGGACTGCGAACGAACACCACGAATATAATGACTGGATGCAAAACACTTGATACAAAAATTAAAGATTTAAATTTGTAACATACCTTTATATTATTGCCAGCTAGGCAAAGTGTTTGTAAGTTTATCATATCCTTTATGCCTTCTATGGTCAGTATACCATTATTTGCTAAATTAAGAGTCACAAGATTATGTAACTTTGACACCCCATACATACGTAACAATTGATTCCTCACTATTGAAAGCTGAAACAATTTAATTGCTCTTAAAGTAAACTGCCTCATCTATCGTATTAAAAATTATAATTGACATTTCAATGATAAACAGATAACGAGATGAGAAATGTGGATTTCTATAGTGGAAAGGCAGATGTTTCATACTGAATATTTCGTACGTGCTATCATAAACGTTTTACCTTGGTAATTCTGTGGTAAGAATCAAGATTATCAAGACGCTGAAGCTCATTATCGTCTATGATCAATGTGCTGATATCCGCATCCGACGGGCAACGAGGAATCTTTTTCAAACCTTGACCACTCAAGTCGAGTGTTTCGCACACCAAAGATTCTGAATAAATAATAGAATTTCACTGTTACCCACTTTCGACTAAATATTTATACGTGCAGAACCGAAAACGTCAAAAATGGCAAGTATGGAAACGCAATGAAATTGTGCTGGTTTTAGGCAAACAATTACGAAACAATGAATGTTCATAATAGACTAAGGTATACTGAGAATATCTAACGTATCTTTACAACGGTATCTTTTCATAATAGTGGTACAATATAAATATGAAATTTTGACTAACCCGTCGAAGCCATGATGAACACAATATCAAACTCGTAGACGCTATGAAGATGTCGTCGTGATCACTATATAATACTTATAGGAATTTGAATATAGATGATATTTACAAAGTAAAATACGAATACAAAGCGAATTCCATTTTCTTAAACAGTTTAAATAAAACGAATTGATATTTACTCATCGTAGTTTTATGTTCGTAATGAACAATAAACAGGACTTATGTAACTATATTGAGATTGTTATTCATTCATTATTTAATTCATTATTTTATTAAAGTAAAACATACATGTATATGCAATATGTAAGGCCATTTGTGATAGTATTGTACATATCTTATAACATTTATCGATTTGTAAAAAATTTTCAAATCCACGTTCGAATCATGGATTTGAGGAAGTTCTGTCGGTGAACGAATTAACACACAGTTAATTCCAAAATTTGGTATGCAGTTAGACATAGCTGCAAAACTAACTCAGTTAAAATTTCAAAAGTCTAGGGTACTTGAGAAGAAAGATATAGATGTTTTTATTTTTAGTTTTTTAATATGGGTTCTTATGAGAAATCGCAATTTCGCCGTATTCATTTATGTATTATAAAACAGTTAACATATTTCTCAAAACTTTTGTGGTACAAAATAAATGTTTGATAAACATTTACAATTTTTGAAAACTATCATAGGATACATGTAAGAATTAGGAAAAATCAATGAATAGAAAAGTATTATGTTTGTCACTCCTCAATCGCCGTCACTATCTGGTAGCGCTGTATTTTAAGGTTATAGCGCGCATTTTGAATTGTCTTGCATTCGGTAAATTGTTTACTTAGCATTATTTTGTATTGTTTTATATGCAAATAATAAATAAATAAATAAGAAGTGAAAGGAAAAAATATACTTGGACCAGCAATTTGGGAGCGCATGCGCCCGTGGGTCTGCATCCCTCTTACGTATTTTGTCACGCTTTACCGTGACAAAGCCTGACTGATAAAGCAAATAAAGCTCTGTCCTGCTCTGTCCTTTAGGCTGTTAAGGTTTGTCTGACCTGACTGAAAGTATCAAGCAGTATTAAGATATTTAAATACTATTTTACTTAATTTTGTTAACCGACGAAATTTAAATCATTTCCTGAAGCGCAACTATAGTCAACCGGTAAGCTATTAATTAAAACGATACAGTAATTATAGATTCTTTGCATCCTTCCACAATAACAAAGTCACGTGTTAACCGTGCTAACTCCGAAATTAAATTGAAAAGGTGAGAGAAGTAAACTAAAAATGAGACGTCATCTGATGAACATATCTAACGGGCACAAGAATCCGATAATAAATAATAATGCCAATGCCACTGAATGGAAACAGTTCTCGAAGAAAATAATCAGTATCAAAAAGTGCGAGCCTCTGTTAACTTTAATCGGGAATGTTGATAAGCGCGATGGGAAGTGCAAAGAAGACATCGATAAAAAGATTTCGAAAGTTTCAATTGTTTCACCAAATAAACTACATGAAGAATATAAAAATTCTCCTTGCATACCTAAAAATTTTGAACAAAGCTTTCATATACCGATACACACTAAAAGTGACAATCCCAAGGACATCAGCAATTCTTGGACAGAAAATATAACAGCAACACAAAATGAAGTTGAGGAGAAAAAGATTTGTGACAAAGAGACTGACCAAAAGAATATAAGAATTAATGAAATCAATATGCAAATGCTTTCAAAATCATTATACAATCAGATATTTAAGAACTCTCATAGTCAAGAGAAGATATCAAATATAGAAATACAATCTATAAAAAACAATTTACTGTCTTATGGGATAAAAACTGACGAAGCGAGTAGACTACGTGATGTTGATATAAAGATACCTCCTTTAGAAGGAGACGATATAGAGCAACATTTCTATAATATTGGAAAAGCACAAATCAAACCTTACATAAAACTTGTAAAAGACATTATGGAAGACATTCCACCAATGCCACAACAATGGATGTTAAGAGAAGGTTGGACAAGATATACTTCCAATGGAATAGAAAGCGTAGACCATCCATTAGAAGATGCTGTTATTTTTGATGTGGAAGTTTGCATGAAGGAGGGTCCTTTGCCAACATTAGCAACTGCAGTAAGCAATCGGGCATGGTATGGTTGGGTATCAAAATCTTTAATAGATGGTGTAAGCAAGAACTTCGAGGGTAAACAATTTACTATGGATGAATTAATTCCAATAGAAAGTAAAGCCACTGAACATGGAGAGAAGTTAAATTCTTTTCATAAAAAGCCAAAAATTATGATTGGCCACAATGTATCATACGATAGGAGTAAAATTAAAGAGCAATATTGGTTGAAACAAACAGGTTTACGATTTGTCGATACAATGTCGCTTCACATATGTGTTGGTGGCATTAATAGCTACCAGAGAACTATTTTAAATTCCAAGAACGACACGGATGAAAAATGTGACTTAAAAATGCAGACTTCGTTAAATAGTTTAACAGAGATTCACAAATTTTATTGTGGATTCGAAGTGAACAAAGATTTTAGAGATATATTTGTGAATGGTTCGTTAGTAGACATTAAGAAAGACTTCAACTCTTTGATGGTTTATTGCGCAAATGATGTGATCGCTACTCACAACGTGCTGTGCCACTTATTCCCAATTTTTGAAGAAAGATTCCCTCACCCTGTTACTCTGGCGGGGATGTTAGAGATTGGTACAGCATATTTACCCATAAATTCTAATTGGCAAAGATACATAAACGAGTCAGAGTCAACGTTCGACGATCTGAACTATGAAACTAAGGTGACTCTTACTAAAAGAGCCAATGCTGTTTGCGAACTTATGCATGATGAAAAATATAAAGAAGACTTATGGATGTGGAATGAAGACTGGAGTACACAAACACTTAAAGTAAAAGCACAATATTCTAAAACTAATATTAAGAAAAAGTGCCTAGTAAAAAACGTACAAGAAGAGAAAAGGACAGAAGCTCAGAGTTACTTAACAGATGACGAAGAGGAAGAGGATCCTCTGGAGAAGAAGTTCGCCTACCTGATGGAGACGAGAAAATTTTTACCTTCGAGACTACCTCATATGCCAGGGTATCCCGCGTGGTATAGAAAACTTTGTCCTAAAGTAACCGATGAGAACTGGTCGCCAGGTCCGCAGAATATAAGCATCTCTATGCAAATTGTTCCCAAACTCCTAAATCTTACATGGGAATGCTTTCCTTTACATCATATTAAGGACAAAGGATGGGGAATTTTAGTGCCGTACAGTAATGATTTAAATATCGACACTAAAGTGCCTTTGAAACAGCTTCTGGCTAAATGTCCTTTGCTAAAAAATATGCGTTCGTCCAATAATACAGACTACGCAATGACGACTCTCGATAAAGAGGTGGAGATCGACCTGCCTAAAACTGAATTCTGGTATGGCAAGAAAAAACAGCCTAGAGATGAATTAGTAAATATTTACAATGGCAGCGCGCATTGGTGTGACGTGGACATCGATAATTGTTGTTACTTTCTGAAATTACCGCACAAAGATGGGAAAAGTTATAATGTCGGCAATCCGTTGGCTAAAGATTTTCTTAATAAATTTTCCGAACACGTCCTGGCTGGCTCGGATGCTAGTGCAGCAGAAATATTGAAGATCGCTAGTATGTTGTCGTACTGGAGGAACAACAGGGATAGAATTATGTCGCAGTTTGCAATCTGGTTCGAAGATTCCCATCTGCCAAGCACTGTTAAAAATACAAGAAGAAGAATGCAGTACGGGTCAATTTTACCCAAGGTAGTCGTTTGCGGAACATTAACTAGGCGAGCGGTGGAGCCCACTTGGATGACTGCTTCCAACGCTTCCGAAGAACGCGTCGGTTCGGAATTGCGAGCAATGATTCAAGCGCCGCCAGGATATAATTTAGTCGGCGCCGACGTTGACAGTCAAGAATTGTGGATTGCGTCTATGATAGGAGATGCTTATTACAAGAAGATCCATGGAGCAACGCCTTTCGGATGGATGACGCTAATTGGGACCAAGTCTAATGAGACCGATATGCACAGCGTTACTGCTAAGGCTATTGGAATTTCTAGGAATCAAGCCAAGATTATTAACTACGCTAGAATCTACGGCGCCGGCCAGAGGTTTGCCGAAAGACTGTTGAAACAGTTCAATCCATGTATGACGGACGGCGAGGCGACGTCCAAGTCACGAAAAATGTTCACCATGACCAAGGGCAAGAAGATATACGAATTAAAATCCGAATGCGTTAACGAATTGACCGACAAGCAGTATTCATCTTACGAAGCGTACAAACTTGCAACGTTGCACGGAAAGACCGTGCAGGAAATGTTTAAGAAGAGCAAATGGATCGGTGGTTCAGAGTCCGCAATGTTCAATAGGCTCGAAGAGATCGCCGGGAGCCCCCATCCCGTCACACCTTTCTTGAATTGTCGACTGACTCGTGCTCTGGAGAATCAGGCGAATAACGAAAAATATCTGCCCACGAAAGTAAATTGGGTGGTTCAGAGCGGTGCGGTTGATTTCCTACATTTAATGTTGGTCTCGATGAAGTGGCTGATGAAAGATAATATACGATTTTGTTTATCCTTTCACGACGAAGTTCGGTATTTGGTACCGTCGCGCTACAAGTATAACGCAGCGCTCGCAATGCACATAACTAATCTTTTGACGCGGTCTTTTTGCGCTTCGAGAGTCGGAATGAAAGATCTGCCGATGTCGGTGGCATTTTTTACTTCTGTAGAAGTAGATACGGTACTACGCAAAGAATCGGAAAACGATTGTACTACGCCCTCGAATCCGCACGGTTTAAAGAATGGTTACGAAATATCACCGGGCGAAAGCTTGGACATATGGTCAACCATTGAAAAATCGAAAGGATCTGTAGGTCCGTGGCACGATGTAAAAAAAGAATAAAAGATCGATTCCAAAGAAAAATGAAGCCAAAGCTCAATTAATCAAACAACAATTAGTATAATTTTGTAAAATTTATGTTCCCATTTACCTTTAAATTTACAGATTAAAATGTCGAAGGTATCCAAGCTTAAGCGCCTCGTTAAAGAGTTCGAAGATCTAAGCGTTCCCGCCGAGTCGCAATCTATCGTAAAAATAATAAGATCGTGCGGTAATAATCTTCACGAAGTCGTAGACACTGACGGGAATGAGTATCTCGTGTCTATGCCGACGAAATTTCGAAAAAACATTTGGGTGAAACGAAATGATTTCGTATTGGTGGAACCAATACCAGAAGGGAATAAAGTAAAGGCCGAGATCGTCAAGATATTAACACGAGTAAGTTTTCTCATAAATATTTGCATACTTTTCGATTAATTTATTTGTACGATTTCTTGACGACAAAATTTGTTTGTTAGGAGCATAAAAGATGGTACCGCGCGCAGAACTGTTGGCCCCAAGAATTCGATGAAACGTCTGACTCCAATCGAGGAACCACCGGCGAAGACGGTGATAAAAATGATGATCTTTTTGTAAATACAAATAGAATAAATCGTAATTGTAGTATACCAGATAATGATAGTGATACAAGTTCCGATGAGTTTAATTCTAGTTCATAATTTTTATACGGCGTTGTAAATAATAAAGTTGTTTATATGTGAAAAATAATGTATTACTCTGTATTCTGCACTTTCCGCTACTGAAGCTAACATAAATATTTTATTAAAATGGTACTCCCTCAGAAATGGATCAGCGTCGTGATTATATTTTATTTCATTAAAAAAATGCCTCCGTTTTTACGCAAATTTATCGTAACATTATCGCAAAAATACCGTTGCATTGTTTGATTAATCTTATCGGATAATAGATTTTTTGTAATTTTTCATCCCGTCCTTAATTAGAAAGTAAGGATCTTGAAATCCACTTCCTTGAAAGATGTACTTGGCACTTGCGTACTCTTTATATACTAAATTCCGAATAAACGTTTTAGATTGATTAATATTCTCTTAATGCCGTTGTAAACTTTTCAAGTCGCTAAACGTATCATCCTTTATTGCAACGTAAATTGAAGGTTCTTTAAACGAAGTTCGCGAATGAATCACGATCATATAGATAACACAGGAGTAAATATGCATTTCTTATAAACTCTTGAATTGTTTAACACAAACATACCTCGTACGTCAATTTTGTTCAAACTTCATTATTTTTATTTGCGATCTGTTTCTCTGTCTGAAATAAAGAAAATCAAGGATTTCGTCACGGTTCATTAATACTACGAATAAAAATATACATTCTCTCTATACGTCGTTTAAAACAAGTGCACCTTTTCTATCGGTGCGCGAGACTGTGATTAAACAACAATTAAATTCTAGAAGTAGCGCGTGTAAGATAAGAAGCTTCACGCGCGACAATTGAATGCGCTGGAAATTGTAATAGGATTGAACGGAATACAAGACCGATTCTCTTATCGGTGAGATCGCGAGATGAGGTTGCTGCGAGGACAGGTGTTTGACGGTATCGTTGAGAATGTTACAATCAGTTACGCTACTGTCCGCGGTACCCTATCATCGACGGCGACGATTCGCTAATTTACTTCTGTACTATTAAGCTATTTTGATTTTCTGTGCTAATGACAGCAAACTACACGCCCTTATTTATCACCGCGCGTGTCTATCTGAAATCGAATTCGTCCGTCGTAATTGAGAAGCAAACCGTTTCATCGTGAAATATTGTAACGATTTGTGCAAATGTACTATTGATTATTTGTAACGAATCAAGTGGTGCGCTCGCTACACGTTCCTTCTGCGGAGATTCGATGATGACGAATAACAATGGGAATACACCGCGGAACATTAACAAGAAACGAATCGGCTAACGTTGCCGCAGACTTACGTGCCGAACTCAATCTTCCCCGAGATGGCAAATTGAATTGTTCGGGATGCTCTGAAAGGAACAGACATTAAAAATAACTGTACTTTGTTGCTTTATAGAATAAACCGGGTATTATGGTGCACCGATTCGTGACAAATTTTTGCTGGCTTCACTTTAAACTGCTGACCTATTAATGATCCGCGGATCGCTGTTTGTTGACTCGACTGATCTGGTTATCGAGTCTCGCGATACAATGCTTTGTTTACCAGTGATGATTATTTCAACAGATACGAGCATCGATTCTTAAAATAAACGATACCCGGATTCGAATCGATTTCATTTAACTACTCGCCGTTTCTCATTTTAAATGTTCGACGATCAATGCCCGGCCGCTTTCGTCGGGAATTCCACTTGATATAACGGAGAGAGAGCTTTACGCCTGAATTCGGGAAAGTCATTATGGAAACGTCGAGCGACGACGCGGACGATTTGTTCGATTTCTGGAAAGACTGGGACTTGGAGAATCTTACAGAGTCCGAATACTTGGAGAAGGTACTCGGGCCGAAGTATTTGCCCATGAAGATGGTCGTACCGCTCACGATAGCGTACGTCACGATTTTCGTGACCGGGATATTTGGAAACGTCGCCACGTGCATCGTGATCATAAGAAATTCTTCGATGCAAACGGCCACGAATTACTACTTGCTCAGTCTGGCTATATCCGATCTTATTCTACTTGTTCTGGGTGAGTTGCGATCCGAGTGCGCTCGTTGCGTCGTCTGATCCACTTTGTTCATAAGAACAATTCGTGAAACGACTATGACAAAGATTAGTAGACATTTGATACAGATAATTGCGGACACACGTGCGATCCGAATGTGTGAACGGTCATTCACTTTTTAATCGTTGTCTAGGACTCAATTAGATTTGTAGCTATTGCGAAAATATCTTGTATTCAAAGTAGAAGACAAAAAGTTTTTTATTAAGAAATATGAGTGTTGCTTTATATGTAGACAATACGCTGTAGCCCTAAATCGTTCAGTTTGACTGTTTAAATGATGATAGAGTTTCAATTTATTGGTTCATTTTAGTATTTTGATAAGAAAAGACTGATATCTGCACAGAGGTGCGTCAGTGGGAACGCAGTATGACTTCATAAATTTTTGCTGGACGTTATTATATTATGTAATTAATAAAGAAAAGGAGGACAAAAGAATGAACCGTAAACGGTACGACTTTACCTCTACTTCCTTACATCAAAGGTGCTTGATAAAGGCTTTAAATTAATCTTCGCGTGTGTATACACGAACGATTGTTATCTTCTCAGTGGATTGTTTGCTTCGTAACGTCGTTTTTATTCGCGTCATAGCGCAAAGTCGGGGTAAATGTTATGGCTGACACGCGATACCCGTGTGTCCAAATCGCCAACAAATTATGTACATACCTATATACGTAGGATTGGAGCACATTTTAAGCGACGCACACTTGAAGCGTTGTTTTGGATTCACGATAATTACTGATCGTGTTCCTCGTGGAATAGTCGAAATTGAAGATCGAGATAACGATAAGAACGTATCACCGAGTTACAATGGAACTCGAATGTCGCCGAAAACATGATTGTTGGATGCAAAATGCTTTTCACCAGCTTCCCTCGCATCACAATTATTGCACAGTGCCTTCTTTTCATTTCGTTTTTTAGAAATAAAGATTAGATATAATGGGAAGAATTGTGAAAAGTGAAAGACTTCTATCTCAGGAACGGTGAATGACAATGTATCGAGTAGTTCTTCTGACAAGAATGATATATATATATCCTATTTTCTTTGTACTTTGTCAAGTTCGATACGTTTCATGACGCAAATGTGATAAGCATGTATCCCTTAAGTATCATCGGGAAAGTTGAATCGTTATCGACAATACACTCTTCGGAATTAAGTATGATGGGAATCATTGCAATAAGATCGGGCGATACAACGCTTACGCACGTCTGCTATCGATCTGTGAAGTGTGCATTATAGTTTTGTAATTAGTACTTGTTCAGAAAGTGTTATGAACGCAATTGAGTAATTTCGTATCGACGTATTTCAATGTTCGTAGATCGCGATATTGCTCGGAGATTAAACGCGTTCTGATTAAACTTAAAATGACGACCGTTTTCACTTTGTTGTCGAAATCTGAAATCTAGCAGATCGTGTTAATGCTCTGACGATGAAATAAAGAAAAGAAAGAAATGAAATCTATAAAATGTTCTAGCGATCTATAAAATGTTTCTCTCTGACGCTTATGCGTAGTTAATTAGCTGCTGTTTTTGAGGAAAATGATCTCGGATCACGAAACACAAAGACACCTGTGTTTCTCCACTGCGCTCCTCTGTAGATATCTGACGTCAATCGTATGATTGTCACGGAAATAAATTACGTTGTAAAAAAATAAGAACACACGTTCGAATGACGTGAAAATGAAAAATTTCAATTTCAATTGACAGGTCTGCAAATTGTTCGATGGTTATCGTTTAATCAATTTCAGGATTACCCAACGAGCTTAGTCTCTTCTGGCAGCAATACCCATGGGCACTGGGGCTTGGCCTTTGCAAGATCAGGGCATACGTGTCCGAAATGTAAGCGAATTTAGTTGAAATTCCGAAACCGCTCCGAATTTTTTCTATCTAAAATTTGTTCCTCGTTCGACAGGTCTTCGTATGTGTCAGTCCTCACGATAGTAGCTTTTTCGATGGAAAGATATTTGGCTATTTGTCATCCGTTTCGAGTTTACGCGATGAGTGGTCTCAAAAGGCCCATACGTTTTATTCTGGCCGCATGGTCGATCGCGCTGGTTTGCGCCATCCCGTTTGCGATCTATACGACAGTCAACTTCGTTGAATACCCACCAGGTCAGCTATGAAACTCAATTACGTTCTTCCTACGCGCAGCCTTGGATTAAGGTTTTTCTGATGCCCGTTCGGAGGATACTAGAACTTAATCCGGACGTGCTTCAATGCATAATATAAAGGAGTTTACGAAAACTTGAAAATTATTCAGGTTCTGGGAATTACTCGACCGATTCCGCGATTTGCACTATACTGTTACCGTACATGCCTGATTTTCCTCTGTACGAATTGAGCAGCGTCATATTTTTCCTGATACCGATGCTGATCATCTTGGTGGTGTACACGAGAATGGGACTGAAAATCAGAAACAGCACAACGAACACTTTGAACTCGGTGATGCAGGGTGCTATTCACGGTGACTCGAGACAAGTTCAATCTCGAAAATCCGTGATTAGAATGTTGAGTAAGATGTTTTTTACCTACGCATTACGAACTGTCCCCCACAGCATTCAATATTGCAACAAGGTCACTGCACAAAGTCTTCAACATTGTCACATTGCAATTGCCGTACAATGTTGCTGCAACATTTCAACAACAGTGCATTTACATGTTGCAGTGCAACATTATAGTAATGTTAGAGTAACGTTTCTCACGATTTTTATGTAATTGTTATATCGATATTATTGGGAAATTATGATACATATACATATATAATTAATCATAAAGAAGATCATTATCGTAATCATAATTATAACGTAAAGGAATTATAGAAATACCATCTGTACTTTCAGAAATTCATTTGTAGCAATCCTGCAGCAACATTGTTTGAAATATTGCGATCTTGCAGTAAAATATTTTTGCAACGGTGCTGCAATATTGAATGCTGTTGGGGGTAGGACTACTCCTGTCAGAAATCATTACAAATTGCGTTGTTTCAGGCGCCGTAGTCATTTTATTCTTCATCTGTTGGGCACCGTTTCACGCGCAACGTTTATTATACGTGTACGGGCAAGACTCCGATTACTACCCCGATCTAAGAGAGTGGCTGTACATTTTGAGCGGCTGCCTCTACTACTTCAGCACCACTGTGAATCCAATTTTGTACAATTTGATGAGTGTTAAGTATCGGAACGCTTTCAAACAAACAATCTGCTGCGGGTCGATGGTATCGGGCAGAAAAGTCTGGACTGCCAGAGAGTCTCAAGTGTGCAATAACAATACAAACGGAAAATCTGGTAACCCGGACTTTGGATATTCCGTGAGGTAAACCTCGTTAAAATCGTTGTAGGAAAAATTCTGTGAACGATAACGCGTCTGTAGGTGGACCGACTTGTACGATTTTTGTTCAGGAATACAATCAACCAGGCGAAGGAGATGTTTCGGACCAAGAACGGGGAGGCTTTGGCTAAGGATGGAAACACGAATGATAACGTTTCTCGGAAACCTTACATGCTGAGGAAGGAAGATTCCACGGAGAAACCTCTTCTCAATCGAACGCAGTCCGCTTCGCAGGAACAAAGGGACGAAAACGATCCAGCATGCAAATTATTACTACAAAAAACTATATCCACGACCACCACTACTAGTGTCACATAATATACGATTTCCACTTTTTCATGTGAAAATATTGTACATAATAATTTTTAAGTTCATGTTATATTTCGTACTATTTATTATTCGTTGATACTGCATATGTTTTTAAGCGAATTTTTAAGCAAATACTCGGTCATAAGATTTCGTATGTTTAATAAAAATTCCAATGGTAAATACCGATAGTTTTATATGACATTCTCGGTAACAACACACAAACCCCCTATCAGTTTTAAGTGTGTTTAAGGTAGTTATCACCTAAATGTACACCATTCGAAATAATCACTATAAACTTTCAACAAAATTAATTAAGCACCTGATACATACTCTTGCGAAATTTCAATACATTTTACCACATAATTTCTGAGTTATACTTAATCAAGGTTGACTACTTTTATACAGGGTGTCCCAGAAAAAGTGTTAGAGCCCAAAAGCCAAAAGAGGTGATTCTGGAGGTGTTTCTGAACAACAATTTCCTTTGATAAAATGCAAAGTGAGCCATGGTTTTTGAATTATTAACGAAAAACATTGACCAATGAGAGCACGCGTAGGGCCCAGCCATGGGTAGGTTGGCTCGGATCGTAACATTCGGCCGTGGCTTAGCGCAGGCCCTAGATGCGCTCTTGTTGGTCAGTGTTTTTTGTTAATAATTCAAAAACCATGCTTCACTTTGCATTTTGGTAAAAGAAATTGTTGTTCAAAAACACGTACAGAATCACCTCTCTTCAGCTCTAACACTTTTTCTGGGACACCCTGTATGTGTTTAGCATAAGCTTAACTCGAAATATATAAAAATTCATTATCATTGTGACCATGAGAGTGTAAAATAAAAATTAATTGAAGTATCTAAAGTCGAGTCGAATGAGTATATCGCAGATATTTTCACTAAAGCGTTGAGTAGAGAAAAATTTATAAAATTCAGAGAGTTATTATTAATAAAAAATATGAGTAATCGAACAAAAAACTGAAAAGTTTGAGTATTAATATCTTTAATTCTAGCCAATTCTTTCCAGATTGTTATATGTATATTACGTTATATATAATCGAAAAGTAGTCAACTTTGATTAAGCATAACTCAGAAACTATGTGATAAAATGTACTATCAGGCGTTTAATTAATTTTGTTGAAACTTTCATGATTATCTCGAATACTGTTCATTTAGGTGATAATTACCTTGATAAGTTCCGCTTTCAAGGAATTAAGGAAAGATGATGTCACGTTTAAAGCTTTGAACTATAAGTAGCGTGCTTGTAAGGTGTACATATTATTTGAGTTTGCTCACGTTCGTAAAAATCAAACTCAAATGTCCGCGGTTCGTTAAACGGGATTTAGTATTTGCGAAAACAGAAGTCTCGAGTGCAGTTTAACTTTTGACCATCTCGTTACGTAATTAATTTACCTCGTTCAGCTAAGTTTGCCACTAATGTCGAAACTCCGTACCCACAATGATGAATAGTCTGTCCGCGAAGTACCGTCTTTAATGACATCGTCGATGTGTAAATCAAAAATACCTTCTAATCATTTTACCGATGATATTCCTATCGATACTAATTAACGTATGCTTTAAGAATGTATAAGCTATACACTTAAACGATGCTAGCATATTGAATTAGATTCCTGTTACTATTAAAAAGCTACCTCACAAATTTTAAATCAATTCATGGGTTCTTTGAAAAATTATAGTGTCTTGAAATTTACATGTACTCTTATGGTAATCAGCAATAACCCAAAGAAAACTTCACTTTGATCTCGAAAATAACCCAGAGAAAACTGTGATAAACTCTTGAAACAAGATTATATCGAATGTTTTATGAACAAATTTCTAAGAAAATAATCATCACTCGTGGAT